CACCAGTGTCAAAAGAGAATTTCTCTTAATGGGTTAATTTCATGAGCTGATGACTGTGACCAAACTACCACTTTGGAAGGGCTATCATACTAAAATATCATCTACTATCAATCTTTTTAAAAAATGATGATGAAGTTTTGCCACTCTGAGATGGACCTAATAAGGAAATTTTGGCCATTGGCAATGGACTAAATGTTTTTTTCTGCCTCTTTTGTTTACCACATGAAACAAAGTAAAATAATTACAGTATAACTTGGTCTTGTAATTTCATATATATAATTATTTTTTTCATTTATTACAGACACATAATTCAAAGATGCTGCAATTTGTGGGACGTCCTGTTTTGTCCACATTCTTGCTTTGGTCTCATATTTTTTCTTTGCATCATAGAATGACACACTGTGCAGTTCCTCCCTGCTAAGAGTCAGTAGAAATACACTGAGCATAAGATAAGACTGTGCAGTCATGCTTGCAGCTCTCTTAGGTTGTAACAGCTTTGTGATAAATGCCAGCCTATATTCACATGCTGCCCCATTATTAGGAATTGAGAGATTATTGTTGTGTTTTCCATCTTAATCTGGGCTGCTTTCAACAACATGCACATGCTCATTAGTACTAAATATTAGTTTATTTAAATTATCCAGAGGGACACAAATGTTTAAATGTGAACTACTCTAAGCACAAGCTGTTGGGACAGAACGCAACACAAAAGTTAACCACAAGGTGGCGCTTCAGAACAAGACTGAAGAACCTGCAGTTCATCCTGTTGACACAATGGATGTCTCAACTGTGCTGATCTAAAGTGCAAGCACAATGTTCACGATTAAAGCATGATTTGATTGAAAAAACCTGCATGAAACACATTTTGCAGATATAAAACAAAAACAAAAAAAAAAATAAAGAGCGTACATTCCTTGAAGGAATGCACATCACCCGCCAACTTCTATGCAAAAATTTTAGATGAAGATTTTATGACAAATGATGACTGTTGTAGCTGTTTTGTCAAACCTTAAATAACATTATGCACAAAGTCACGAGATGTCACGTTCAAAGTGCATGTTGCGAATGACTATCAGCTACTACCACAATAAAGTTTAGCTCAATATCTGTAAAACCGACTGATTTGCCGCCGTTTTTGTGTTGGCTGTAGCCATCTTGTCCTGGAATAACTTTTAAAAGTTAATCAGATGTATTGCTTTCTGAAAGTTTTGTTAGAGTTCTCCAGTCATCATGATATTTTGCTAACAAAGTTGAAGCAGTTAGTAGTAAAACAAGTAAAGGGCAAACGTTTTAAACAAAGATCAGATGTGTTGGGGATCAATCTCAGCTTAAACTTTTTGGTTTTAGAGTATTTAAGGTTGGCTGACTGTGGTTTTAGGGCTCTGAACTGTTTTTCTAATGTTATTTTAAAAAAATGCAACACTTTATTTTCAGATGCACAAATAAAATCCTGCTTTGATCTGCTTAATCTGAACTCGTGAGTGTTTGAAATCCCAGTGCACATCATCAAAAACAGGACTGCAGCCACCACGGCCACAATCTGACCAGCTGCTCTGACATCCCGCTGACGGGGCCCAGCAAATACCCAAGTGGAGGTGGAGGCGCCTGTAATTACTAGACCGCTTCTGCTGCGGCTGCCACATGATGGGAACCTTTCATCTCCAAAGCCATCTCTTTGGGAGACAATAGGCACCTCGTCTCTCCTCCCATCCCTTTGAACTCACCAGGAGGGGGGGTGGCAGTGCTATCATGAACTGAACAGGTGAGACAAGGAGGAAGAAGAGGAGGATGTGTTGTGTTAATGCACTGTGGCCACTCCGTCAACACGCTCAGTAAAACCAGTGTCAGCAGCTTTATTATATATTCAACAGGGCCAGGCGGCTTTTGTGTGGCTTCTTTTACATTTTAATGAAAAATCTAGAAATGACTGATAGAGACTTTGATAGGAAATGAAAGTGAACTCCGTGCTTTCACACCCAGACACCAAGAAATGCACCAGGCTGCATGAAACCAACCTCTCTTCTTCACACACAATTGTATAATAATAATAAAAAAACACAAGCTAAACGGCTGTGATATGTTCACATTTATTGTGCGGTGACTTTTATACATACATCTTTTATTTTATTTTTTTTTACACTTCATTTACATGACCAGTCATAAATTAATCTGATAATGTTCTTTAAATCATCTGGCCTTAGTGTTGCCACTGACTGGACACAGCCGTCTTTGTAGAAGAAAAAAAAGAAAAGAGCACAATAATTCCCAGTGACACGTGAGTAACAAGGCAGTAATACAGGTCAGTGTAGTCGAGTTTTCTTTAGTGTTGTATCTTACATAAAGAGGCAGTTGGTAAGAGCTTTGGAGCCAGGACTTTTGTGTTTAGGAACATTTTTTTTAATCTAAGAACTTCCATAAAAATAAAATTTATCTGTTCACAGGGTTCAAAAATCACTCTTATGCACTACTCGGAACATAAATGTGTTTAAGTTTCTAATAATTTGTCTTACATATTTGGTGGCTATATGTTTTACAAAGAAAATCTCCTTTTGGCACAAGTTTTTTTTTTTTTTTGATCTACAACAGGAATATAAAACTTAATTGGACTTCTTTTTTAAGCAACATAGCTGAGAAATTAAATGTTTTAAATAAATTTGTTGGACTATTCTGCGCAATTGTTAAAAATAATGATCTATAAAATGTATTTTTATTTAAAATCAACATGATTTTAGGTTTGACTGCCTTTTACATGATCATTTATCACCTATTTGGTAACAATAATTAAGATTTAGATGAGTTTGTTAGACTGGGTGGTGAAAAAACTTGTAACCAAGCCCTCTGGAGATGTAGCTAAATAGATCAAAATCACCCAAACGCCTTACAAACTGCCTCTTTCAATATTAAAAATGACCATTACTATTGTGCTACATTGATCACTGACAACAGACACAAAGATAAAATACAGTTGGCTATTAGTGTAATTTTTTACAAAATCTAAATCTAACTCATTATGCATAAATCGTATTCACCGTGAACATTGTAGTGAGTGTGTGGAAACAATAAAAAATACATTATCCAGAGAGGCCGGGGCGGGGCCCACACACGTCAAAATGGGGACGAGATAAAATATAAACCACTGAAAAAAAAATCTAATTTAGTTTTCTCATTTATACACAAATTGCAAATACAAGCAAGGACCTGATCTCATTAGAGTCTGAAAGAAGAGACAAGAAGTCTAACTTTCTACTGCTAGCTAATGATTAACACTGACACTAACTAGAGTGACATGCCTTTATAACACAAACAACACATCTCCAATCTCTTTTTTTCCATACAGAAACACAGATTTTTTTTTTTATTTAGGATACATTGATGGCTTTTTAGCACTACGCCGCTGCAAGCAGCAGCAACTCTAAGCTAACCAAACATGCAGCTTGTGGTGAATTTCTACAGTACTATTCAGTGGTTGATGGTGGTAAACGGTTGTGAGAAACGCCAGAGTTTGTATTTTTTTATTACTTTTATTATTCTCATAAGGTAATGATGTTCAACATGGCTCTGTTGTTCCGTAAGCCTCACATCCAGTCTATTAAGACTCGCTCGTTAAAGTGAAAATAATGTGGTTCCCATTTAAATCGCCACATCATAATGAAACATTTGATTATTGCACACAAGCACTGAAATTTCAAATGTTCATGCAGAATGAATGCGAACACGGTACAATCAAATCAGTGGCTGCTCACATGGCGTAACAAACTTTTGGAAGACTAAAGGTTGTTCTGGGGCGGGGCGGGGCGGTCAGGAACATAAATAGATTGCACATGACTGTAGCACCTACAGTAACTGTATAAAGGGTTGCAGTGTTTGAAATGAGTGTGAGGATTAAAGACAACTGCTGATCGCAGTACCGCGAGTTTTCTTCAGACAGTAATAAAAAACAAGGAGTGTTTAAGAAAACTGCAGTGTGAAGGACAAAATGATGAGTAAGCATTTCTGCGAGGGAATTAGAGCTGGGCGATATGATCAAAATTTTATATCACGGTATTTTCAACATTTTCACCGGTTTCACGGTATTTGACGTTATTTTTTTCTTCTCATCACAGCTCAGCTGATAATAAAATGTACAAACCCTGCTTATTGAGTTTTTTTTTTTCTTTTACTGTACCTCTGTCTGTGTCTCTGTTTCCCTCCTCTGTGTCTGTTCTTTGACTGGTGGTTGGAGACAGTAGTCATGCATTTTGGTCCAGTCATGAAGGAGGAGGGTTAAGAAAAGATTATGATCGGGTTTATTGTTTTATGTTATTTATTAAAGTTTWTCAGCACGACTCACCTTGCACACCAGTCAATTCCAACTCCACTACGAACTACTTCCCTGTGTTTTTCACAATAGAACCACGTTAAGTCTCCATCAGCATAACGTCTCCATATTAACTAACTGCATTAAATCTAACTGTGCACGTCACTGAAGAGGTGTTTACTACATTCAGCGACGGCGAAAACGGGATGTTTTTTTAAACGTCAGTCAATATAAGCAGCGGAATCGCCACCCGCGGCTGCAACTAGCTGCTCCAAACATTAGCATGCTAACACACATAGCGGTGCAGCAAGGAAAAATGTCCCCCGGGAAACAACAGTTCACTGGCGGCCGCGACGAAACATTCCGCTATTTAAACCGGAATGTCCGGTATTCAGAAAATTCATATCATAACAAAAATAAAAACCGGTATTCAGTACAAAACGGTATACAGCCCAGCCCTAGAGGGAATCTGTCGGTTTGTTTTTCAGGCAAATTCATGTGTCGACAAGCAAAATGTATAACATCCATAATTAAACATTCATAGCTTTGATTCTGTTAAAACACAAACTCATTAGACTTGAAGAACATTTGATATGGGGAACTTGAAGGTGAAGATTAAATGTATTTGTATAAAGAAAAAAAAAGTATTTTTAGACACAATTCGCCCCAAAACTACTCTACACACCAGACCAGACAATAGAAAGAGTTTTAAGGTGAAATTATGACAAAATAATTAATGTATAAGTACATGTGAGAGTGACAAGGAGTTGCTGTGGTGGACCTTGTGTTTAATGGAGTGTAGACCATCCGTGCACCAACTCAGGGGGATTGGGAACCTGACCTGTAGCTCTTAAAGCTGCCCAGCAGACTCTGCACCCCCTTCTTAACCCGCCGAGCCACAGAGTCAGTGGGAGGTGTGGGCAGACAGGAGGCCAGACTAGGTGGGCGAGCATCCAAACATTTCTGGTAGCGAAGCTTTAGAAATAAACACAAAACAATTCTTCATGATAAATTCAGTCTGTTATATAAAAAAAAAAAACAATATGAGTCACATGAGCAAAAAAAAAAACTAAACAAAATCAGATTTGCCTCACATTTGCCTGCAGCATAAACATAATTTTGTTTTACTAATTTAAAGGAGCGATGCACCTCTGTTTGGGGAACAACTTGGAATGACCTTAAGAATACTGGGACAATTTATTCATTTGGTAGAATGCTTAAAAGTTTTATTTTTTTTTTAATGAGATATGAACAAAGAATTGGTTGAAATTGGTATTTCTGTTGTGATGTTGTTTTGTTGGTTATTTTAAGTTATATTGTGAACTAAGTTGAGTTTAAATTTTTGCATGTTGTATGTTTTGTACAGACAGACAGACAGACAGACAGTAAGTTAGTTAGTTAGTAGGGGTGCAACAATACATGTACCCATATCAAACCGTGCTTTAGGTTCAAAACACACTTGTATAGAACAATACAGTTTTTTAAAATTTACTTTATCAACGTCTTCTGAAGATGCTCTGTGTTAAAGGATCAGTGGATCTGTGTTCGACTACTCCACCTAGGCTGCATTTTTGAGCGCAGATCCACAGAGAAACTTGCTGTTTCAGCAACATTTAATTCAAAAACTGTACTTTTGAGGTTAAACAAATGATCATCATTAATTTAAATAAATTACAAGTTAAAAGGGGCATGGAAATTTCTCTTTTTTTGTATCGAAAAAATATCGAACCATGAGACTAAAGTACTGAACCGAACCAAATAATGAATTTTCTGTATCGTTGCACCCCAAACAAACAAACAGACAGACAGACACACAGACAGACATTTTTTTTAAATGGGGGCAGATGTTACAAGATTTTTTTCTTCTTTCTGCTCCTTTTCATTTGACCGTGTTGTGTGTTTTTGACACAACTTTATTACTATTTGCACTGTTTTGTTTGTCCGAAAGAAATAAATTTTTTAAATAAAATAAAATAATTGTATTATCTAAGGTGTGTTTTATAACTCACCATACACGCAGCCTGCACTGCCTCACTCAGGCTGGCAGCGTTGGGTTCACACCAGAACATGTGGCAGGTGAACTCTCGGGGACCTTCTGCCATGATAAAAGCGAAGGTGTGGACATCTTTGCCCACGCCCATGAAAGACAGGAAACGCACTCTACATTCTGACAGCACCTTCTCATCCTAGAGGTAAAGACAAAACAGTAAAACACATTTAGACACTAAATAAAATACATTTATGAACAAAATTGTGAACATTCAAAGACAACAGTGAAAAGCTGTTTAATAATCTGAGGTACTATAATGTCACATTTTCACTTGAATTATACAGTTTTCCATCTTATGGTTGAACAGTAATCCATCAATAGTGAAAAAATTATTTTAAACTCAAAGATACATCTGGTTTAAAACTATTACCTGTTTAGAAAGGATGGTGAGCGTGGCTGGAGCAACATTCACAGAGACAGGAGTCCAGTCATTTTTGTCTTTGCCAGCCATCGCTGCCTCTAATGCTTCATTAACGATATCCATTCCTGTCAAAAAGACATAAAAAACACATATGTACTGAATAATAAAAACAACTTGCGATAATATCAATAATCCCAACAAGATAACTAGTTTTGCTTACCAACTGGTCTAGTTACAGTTTCAGAACCAAGATAATAAACATGGAAGCGCTGGGAAAGCTCATTTTTTGGAGCAGGAAACTCTGTAAACAAATAAGCAAACATTACATTATTTAATATCATGTTTTAATTTATAAAAAGGAAAATCAAGCATCTAAAAGTTAATTGTTTTACCTTCAACAGGGATGCCAAAAGGTTTGTTTGAGTCAGAGTTGAGCCTGCTCATCCCTGGCTTCATTGCTTTTCTCTCCATCATAATCTAAAGCCAAAAAATATTTTAATCATGTTTTTTTTTTATTGTTTCAAATAACAGATTTTGTTAACTCAAAATGTAAATGAATCAAATCTGATTGAGAGATAACCTTTGAACACATCTCATGTAGGCTGGTGGCGATGTTCTTGGCAGGTGAATCACAGCGGAAAACGTGACACTTCAAAACCTGGGTCAAGTTGTCTCGAGCCACGTAAGCAAAATCCCTGCAGGTGAGATCAAACGGAGAAGCTCACTTTCACGAGTCATTTACACTGTGTAAGGCTTTTGTTCACATATATATATATACAAACACTGCCACAAACAGAACAAGAGGACATATTAATATATATATATATACCTTTCTCTGCATATGATGTAAAATGCAGCATAAAAGAAAAAAACAAGCATTAGTAATATTCCAGCTGTAACAAGTCTGCAGTTGAATCAACAATCCAGCAGATGGCAGCAGCAGCAAACACAAAAACCAAACTTGATGCAGTCACATCTAAATGCACACTTGGCAAGAAAACCATAGAACACTGGGCCTCATGCAAAAACATGTTCTTATTCTTATCCTAAATTTCTCTTACTTTTGTTCGTACGAACATGTCACGTCAGATTCAACAAACACTTCTATCTTCAGGAAAAG